TGGGCCACCATGGTGTACCTGGGGGGCACAGCACAGAGCAGCTCAGCAGCGACCCCAGACCCTGCAGCCTCCCTGAGGCAGCATGCCATGGTCCCTAGCAAGGAAGGAGAAGCTGGAGGAGCTCGAGGTGCAGGAAAGGGTCCCTGGGAGAGATCAGAGCCAATACTCACACCCAGGGAGCAGCGCAGGCTGCAAAGCAACAGCCCCAGCCCTGAGGCCAGAGGGATGCAGAGCCACAACACCGCTCCGAGGAGCGAGGCCACAGGCAGGTGACAGTGCAGGACACGCTCGTCCCCCTGCCCACACACAGCTCACCTGCATGGGTCGTTGGGCTCGTAGCTCGTCAGCACCTCCATCACCACGCCAGCCACCTCCTTGTCATTGGTGACATCCCAGAGCCCGTCGGTGCCCAAGACCAGAACGTCGTCAGGGCAGTGCTCGTACTGTGTGAGGTCATAAACCCTGACCTGACAAGCAACGGGGTGAGACACGAGGGTGAGGGGCAGAGGAGGCTCCTGCTGCACTGGGGATCCGGTCAGCCCAAGCAGTCCCTGGATGCGGGGCAGCCGGCAGCCAGGCTCACCTCCGGGAAGCAGGACAGGAAAGGCTTGATGTGGATGTTGGAGCTGAACACCCTGAGGTCGTGGTCTCCCAGGCCTCGTGTGACCCCAATCGTGGCCATCACCCGAGCCTGGAAAAGGGTGAAATGAAAAGCAAACTCTAAGCTGCTTCCTCCCCACCTCTGTTCTCAGCTGCAAACCGTTGGCATTGCAGAGGTGACAGCACCAGCAAAAACAGGCTGGAAACCCCCAGCCCAGCAGGGGCAGGGGGGAAGCAACTCTCAGACAGCTCTGGCCACAGCACTTCACCTTTTTGCCTTCCCCATAGATAAGTGGAAACTTCAGATCATCTTCTTCTATCTTTTTGTAAGCCCTGGTTAAAATAAGCCAGAAACAACATGTCAGCAGGTGAAGGCTTCCAGCACCTCCCCACCCGCCCCCGTGAAAACGCAACATCCCCGAGTCCCCGCCGTGCCCGGCGCCTGCCCCGCGGGAAAGGACGCTGCAGCAGGACCCCAGCACCGTCCCTCGGCACGGAGCCTGCCGGGCGGGCTGAGCGTTACCAGCCGTTCATGTTCTGGTCTCTGTACAGCATCTTCTTGCCCAGCTCCTTGGGCTGGATCCGTCGGGGGAACTCGAGGTGGGTGAACTCCTTCCCGCTCGGGCCTCAGGAACGCCTGCGGGACAAAGCGTTGGCTCAGCCAGGAGAGCAGCCTCTCGCCACGACGAGAGACCCATCAGCCTGCCAGAACCTCGGGACGGCATTTCACGGTGGGGATAATGCCAGCTGCTCTGCTGCAACTCAAACAGGCAACAGCAAAGCAGCTTCAAAGCACCTGCCTGTGCGACGCCAAGGGGAGACAAGAGCTGAGGACAGCCATGCCTGCACCCAGCAAGAAGGCAAAGCTTTGGCACAAGCAGTTTTGAGAAGTATGGGTCTCCAAAAGACATCAAAACCCAGCAAATTCCAGGAGGAGACAGAGACACAAACCTCCTGGGACCCCAGGCTCGGCACAGGGCACGGCACTCGCCCGAATAAAAAGCCTGGTGGGTCTTTTTCAGAAACCGTGTCCCAGCTGTGACAAGGGACAGAGGCAGCTCAGAGTCCCTTCCCAGGGCAGCCCAGGGGCCTCCTGGAGCACAGCGTGCAGGGGAACAAGAGCAGGGACAGCCACGGAAAACACAGGTGGAGGAAGAAAGAGCTGAAAGAAAGGAGGAGAGCCCTCGGGAACACGGGAGGGTTTGGTGCTGCTCCATCCTGCTCCGGAGCGGCCCTGACCACAGCCCGGGCACCGTGCGGTGCGGCAGCGCGAGCCTGGCCCCTGCCCATCACAGTCGGCTGGAGAAGATCCTTCTCATGACAGTTTCCTCGGTCACTCAAAAATAGATTCAACAAAAAACGCCTCAGTGTTTTTCCAAGTACATTACAAGCCAGGAAATCACATCCAGCAAGCAAACCCCTCCTCCCCTGTGCTGCCGTCAGAGATGTCTTTATAACCTTAAAAAGTCTCCCTGTGTGGCACAAGGGGTTTGTCCAGGCCAGGCAGGAGAGGGAGCTTTCGGGAAGAGAGCTCCAACCCCGCTGGCACACGTCACTCCCTGCCTCCCCGGGGAGCAGCCAGGGAAGAAACTAGGACTCGGTGAGAGCGCTGCGGCTCCTTCAGCCGTGCGAGGGAGCAGAGACGTGCTCCTCCTGTCCTGCTCACCCCCCCGGCCAGCCCAGAGCTTGGGGGGTGCCCCTCGGGCAGGCAATGCTCACCATTCCCTGGGCAGGAGCAGGACAAGACGGACCCAACTGGCTCCATGCAAACATCCCAACCAGCCCCGTGTCCCA